CACCACCATAATCATCACCACCACCATCACCACCATAATCATCACCACCACTATCATCACTGCCATCATCACTGCCACCATCATCCTGCTGACAGTTCCTACAGCCTGAGGTGGCGAGCGAACGTGGGCTCTTTCAGTCGGCACCACAAACTCTTGAGGGGTTGTTCATCAGTCCATTTTATAGATGAGCAAACTGAGGGCTCATAGAGTTGGAGTCACTTGTCCAAGTGGCAGACCCAGATCTGGGCCCAGAGCTGCTGACGGCAAAGTCCATGCTTGGGGGGAAGGGTCTGGGATCCAGAGTTTGGGAGGAGCTGCCGGGTGGGTCTGCCTCAAGGAATCTGTGGATGCAAGCCATATTTTGGGTTGCAGAGCCACAGAGATGTATGTTGGAGGAGGCCGTGCAGAAGACTGGCCAGGAGGCCTTGGGGCTGCTCAGACTGAGAGCTTGAGTCAAGGGTAGTGGCTGATAATGGACAGGGGGAGTGGGTTCAAGAACTACAGTCATTCCTTAAGGCACTTGAGATACCTAGTGAGAGGGCCAGGCCTCCCTGAGGAGGTGCCACCAAAATAGAGATCTGAAGATACCAAGAGAAGAAGCCTCGTGGATGTCTCCAGGAAGTCTGTTCCAGTAGGAGAATAGCTGATGCAAAGGCCCTGGGGTAGGAGCATGCCTGGCCTGTTTGAGTGGTAGTGAGGGGGCCAGAGCAGTTGGAGCCAGAGAGTGAGGGGTGGGGAATTAGCAGGGCCAAGATGTCTGAATCCTCCCAGGCTATGTGAGGACTTTGGGCTTTATTTTAAGTGAGATGGGGGCCCCGGGAAGGTTTTGAACCAAAGAGGGACCTAAATGGACACCTTCTTAGTGGAATTCCCCTGGCTGCCACACAGAGAATGGGCTGTCGAGGGCGAGGGAGGAGCCGGTTAGGAGCTGCTGCGAAGGACCAGAAAGGAGTTAGAACAATCCCCACGCCCCAGACCCCTAGATGTGGTGGGAAAGTCTGGTGAGCTTAGGGGCCAGGAGACTGGCTCAGTGGGAAGAGGCAGAACAAAAGCCACCAAGTCAAGGGGTTGGGGCAGTGATGCCAGTGAGAGCCTGGACTGACCCCAGCTCTGCCCTGCGCCAGCCTCGAGGGCAGGAGAGGTCACATCTGCTTTCCGGGCTGTGGCTTCTCCTTGGTCAGAGGGGGTGGCCCTCCTGGTGCCTGGATTTCTGGGAAGCCTCCAGGGAGCCTGAGCGCAGAGCCTAGAGCTTAGGGAGGCCTCCGTAAGTACCTTCAGTGACTGCGAGAGCAAGGTGAAACCCGGGATGGTGGCCCTGGGACGTCCCCGGGAGCATGGGCAGGTCAGGTGGACGTGAGTGTGGGCTCAGGAGACAGAGGAACTGGATTGGCACATATGGCCAGGGAAAGGGGTGGGGAGTAGGGGGCCAGGCCAGAGCCCTGGGGCACTGACACTGAGGGGGTGGGGGAGACAGAGGAGGTGGCATCAGGGAGGAAAGAGGAGACAGAGCAGGGACCCAGAGTCGTGTGGGGGGGAGTGCATTGGAGGAAGGGTTGTCTGGGGGAGGGGAAGGGAGATGGATGAGAGAAGGTCAGCGGAGGTGATCCCAGCGGCTTGGGGGAGGCTGAGAAAGGAGGACGGAGAGTTCAAAGCCAGCCTCAGCAAAGGCAAGGGGCTCAGCAACTCCGTGAGGCCCTGTCTCTAAATAGAATCCAAAATGGGGCTGGGGGTGTGGCTCAGTGGTTGAGCGCCCCTGAGTTCAATCCCTGATAGCCACCCCCACCCCCCCACCCTGCCACCAAAAAAAAGAGAGGAGGTCAGCTAGGACAGGCAGGGGAGGGGGACATCAGAATGGGGGAGGGGGCTCCGCACCCTTTCCCGTGGGCAGGAGTCCCCTGGATCTCATGAAAATGCAGATTGCGATTCAGTGGGGCTGGGGCGGGCGCATTTCTCACCAAGTCCTGCTGCTGCCCTGGGTTGGCACGGCCTGGCCAGGGTCCGAAGAACGCAGGCTGCCCTCAAGCTGCTTCCTGCCCAGGGCCTCCTCTCCAGGGCCTCCGTTTCCCTCTGGCAATAGAGGCCTGTGAGTGACAGGGAGCACTTTGTAAACTCCGAGGTGAACGTGGGGACTGTCTCACAGAGCAGAGGAGGTGGCAGGCAAATGGCAGGGAGCCCTGGGTGTGGGTGGCACCTAGGCGCAGGCAGGACCGGCTGCGCTTTGGGGGAACCTGGCGGTCCTGGGGGGGCGGGAGGGCAGAGCCCCCAGCTCCTGCCTGGGGGTGCAGGGCTGCAGGAGTGGGCCACCTTGGTCAGGGGCCTGGCCTGGGCAGCTGGAGGGCGCTGCGTGGCTGGCTTTGAAGACGCCACCCCAGGCTCTTTTCCGGGTTTCCTTCTGCTCCCAGACACTCAGCCGAGATCCTTTGATTTTCTGGAGGACGGAGGCCGTGCCGAGTGGCCCTCAGCCCTGGGTCTGCCGGGACCACCCGGAGAGCTTCTCCCACTACACAGCCCCCCTCCTCACTCAGGCTCTGCAGGTGGCACCCAGGCAGCTGTGGAGGAGCAGTGGGCACAGCTGGGGCACAGCTGGGCAGGCAGCAGGTGGAGTGGGTCAGGCCACAGCTCCGCCTCCTCCCTGGGCCATCTGAGGGCAGGTCTGGGTTTTCCAGGTCACTGCTCAAGTTCAGATTCCAGCCCAGCTCATCAGGACCCTGGGGCCTTTAAAAACCCACTTGTTACTGTCTAAACCCCGGGTGGGCGGAGAGTGACTCTAATGGCCCCAGGCCAGCGAGCTCAGGGGGAAGCCCCTGTCCCTGCTTTGAACCAAGGGACTTGGTCCCAAACCTAGAGGGATTGGGAGATACCGCTGGGCGCGGGGCTTCCAAAGGTTTTATTTTATGGTTTATTTAACTGGGGTGGAACCCAGAGGGGCTCTGCCACTCAGCTCACCTGGAGCCTTTCCTTTTTGGGGGGAGTGTGTGGTGCTGGGGGTTGAACCCAGGGCCTTGTGCACGTGGCACTCCACCAGCTGAGCTAGGTCCCCAACCCTGTAGCGTTTCTTCATGTTTTGAGACAGGGTCTCTCCAAATTCTAAGACTGGCCTGGAGCTTGTGACCCTCCTGCCTGAGTCTCCTGAGAAGCGGGGATGACAGCTGTGTGCTACCCAACTGGCTCCCATTGATTTTCTTTCTTTTCTTTTTTTGGTACTGGAGATAGAACCCAGGGGCAATTAAGCACTGAGTCCCACCCCCAGGCCTTTTTAATATTTTATTTACAGACAGGGTTTTCCCAAGTTGCTTAGGCCCTCCCTGAGTTGCTGAGGCTGGCTTTGAACTCGAGATCCTCCTGCCTCAGCCTCCCAAGCCCCTGGGATTACAGGCCTGTGCCACCGCGTCTGGCTCCATTGATTTTTTTAATAGGTCAATTCTGTTACCTTTCCGAAATGTGGCCCTTTTGTTTATTCTCTTTCCCGTCTGGTTGAGGATAAAGTGGAAATTTCAGAACTGGTGTGCACAGTCGCAGTTCAGTGTATGTCAAGCAAATATGTATGACGTGTCTCCTGCGTATCTGGAAAGGTGGTAGGTGCCGGCAGCCGAGGGGATCACAGGTGAGGGCATTGCAGGTGGCCAGGAGGATGCAGGCTTTTCCCAAGTCCTCGCTGTCCAGGTGGACACACCTCGGCTCAGGGCAAATGACTTGCTCGTTCCCTGCAGCTGGCAGGTGGTGGAACCAGGATTTGAGCTCAGCCTGCCCAGCACCAAGCCGTGCACCGTGCATTGCCCCTGTGTGAGGCTCCCGAGGGCCCTGCCTGGCTGGTTTTTGTTCTCCAGATTGTGCTGTGGGGGATGAGTCAGCCCTTGGGTCCAGCGTTCCCCAGGAATGACCTTCTGTGGCTGGAAGCAGAGGCCTGACGATAGAGGCTGAAACAATGTCAGCCGCCCTCCACAGTCCAGGGTGGGCTAGCCGGCTCCTCTCATCTTACCGCCCCCCCCTTCCTGAGGCAGCGGTTCTCAAACCTGCCCTCACATTAGAGTAATCTGGGAAGCATTTAAAAGTTGCCATGCCCAGGTTGTACCTTATGCAATTACATCGGAATGTTTAGGACAGACAATCAGATACCAGCATTTTTTTTTTTTTTTTAAGAAAAAAATCTCCAGGTGATTTCAGGGTGTAGCAAAGTTAGGCAAATCTTACCAGAGAGCATTTTTTTTTTCTCAAAGTCACCAAAGGGCTGCTGGGGCTCAGCCCTCAAGCCCCATTCCAGGCAGGAAGAAGGGAGGAACATTTAAAAGGATGGGCATTACTAAATAAGTTGGTTCTCTTTAAAGAGCTTTCTCAGAAGCCTCCTCCAGTGACTTGCGCTCACATCCCAAAGGCCATTCTTGACTGGAAGGAGACGAGAAATTGGCTTATACTTATATTTTTATTGATTGTTTTATGGCTTGAACCTGGGGACTTGTGGACAGATTTACATCCTCTTTTTTTGAGGCAGGATTTCACTAACTTGTGACCCTCCTGCCTCTGCCTTGAAAGAGCTGGCCTTATAGGCAGGTGCCACTGTGCCCCGCTAAATAGACTTTCATATGGGACATTCTTGCCTAAGAAAAATATTGGGTTTCCTTTTTTGTTTGTTTGTGTTTTGTTTTTGTTTTGGTACCAGGGATTGGATCCAGCGGTGCTTTACCACGGAGCCCCATCCCTAGCCCTTTTTATTTTTAATTTGAGACAAAGTCTTGCTAAGTTGCTGAGGCTGGCCTTGAACTTGTGATCCTCCTTCCTCAACCTCCCAGTCACTGGGATCCGAGGTGTGTGCCGCCGTGCCTGGCTGATGCCTAGTTCTGTGGGAAGGAGCGGGTGGTTGGGGTAGGTAAGGAGCGACTGCCACAAACCCCCAGGCAGAGAGGGTGGCATGTCCTGAGGGGCAGGGATTTAGGGATATGAATGACGGTGGCCTCCCTCTCCTCCGACTTGGCCAGTTTGGATCAGGTGGGGGTGGGGCTCTGGCTTCCCTGAAAATGGCCAGAAAGACCACTGGGGAGACTGAGTCCTGGAATGGGGAAGTGACTTGCTGCGGTCACCCAGACGTCCACCCTCAGCTGCCTGTCACCCCCTGGTTCTGACCCTGCTCTCCCTGCACCCCACTGCTGGGCTCACTGACGTGGCACTGGGTTCCACTGACGGGCACCTCTCTCCACTGGCCAGTGTCTCCCTCAGTCCTAGCAGCAGCAGAACTCTGTGGACTGGGGAAAAGCAGGGCTTTTGGGAAGTTCTTCTCACAGTCTGACTTTATTTCAACTTGCTGTCACATAACCTCTTATCAAAAAGGTTCAGGAGCTGAGGCCCCCCCTGGGCCAAACTTGAATATCTCCTTGACCCTGAGACTTTCTCCATCTTGGCAGAGACACTTCCTCAGCTATGGGAAGGATACCGGGAGGGTAAAGCGGGAAGGAAGCAGGATTCCAGGGGCCTTCTCTATCTGGGCTGGTTCTGGCGTTCAGTGAGATGCAGGGGGACCTCGGGGAGGTTGCTTACCTTCTGCCAAACGCATCAGCACCCGGGCAAGCTGGAGTCCTGTGCTGGGGCGAGGCCTGGCTTCTCTCCTTCCTGGAAGGCCCCAGGGTGGATGCAGAGAAGGCCGAGAGGGGAGGCTGTCCGCAGGTCACCAGGGGAGGCTCCTCCCGGTGGGCTGCTCTGAGGCCCTCCCCCCGGGGCCCAGGCTGTTGATGGAAGGAAGAGTGGGCTCAGGAGGCTTCCGGGGCTGCTGGGTGGAGGAGGTGGAGCTGCACAGGGTACTTGACGTGCCTGGGGAGGTGGTGGGCATCGTGGGCTCTGATTTGTGGCCTTGTGAGGTCGAGTGTCCACCAGGGACACTCCAAAGGCACTTGGGTCGTGGTCTCAGCAGCAGCCCAAGCTGGGAAGCGGGGTACACGGGGTTTATTTGGGAGATAAATCCAGAGAGCGTGGAGGAGGAGCAGGGAGAGAGTGGGGGGGTGAGGGAACCCCTAAAGGTGCCGTCCAGCCAGTGACTGCCACGTCCCCTGGGGAGCTCCGGGACACTGAAACACACACTTGGGTGGCATCCGGGTGGGCGAGGCACTGGCTGGGGGCTGTTCCTGGGAGGTTAGTCCCCCACCCCCTAGGCCTTGGCACACTAGGAACATATGCTCCAGTGGCCAGAGGTGGCCCCTGGTGGTCGGGGTGGGCAGTGGTCCTGCAGGGCTCGGGGAGGGGGCCGACAGCCCTGCTCTCCCTGGAGGAGCCTCTGAGGCCCTGTAGCAGGCCCAGGCGGCCTGGCCGGGTTCTTTCTTCCTTAGGTTTTCTGGGTTGCGCATGTTGACCCGAATTTCCAGCCGAGAACCCTCCCCTGTGGCCACCCGGCCCGTAACTGCTCACTTACTTCCCGTGGCCAGAGCCCCCGCCTGTCGATTTCCCCAGGACTTTCCTGATAGAAGTCAGGGTCTCTGAAGGATTGAGGGGCCTCGTGGTGGCAGAAGGCAAGGCTGGGGATCAATGAGGACAGACCAGCACTCTGAGGTCCTCCGGGCATTGCCAGCCTCGCGGAATTCACAGCCAGGGTGGAGGCGGGCACAGTCTCTGGCCCTGGGAGACCAGGCCTCCTCTCTGCAGAGCCTGAGGGGGGGCGGGGGCGGGGAAGAGGAGAGTAATGAGGTCGCTGCAGCTGTCCTCCCCCCCCCCCCACCAAGTCTTGCCCCATGGGCCATGGCGGGGCTAGCCTGCACCTCTAAATGTCCATGGGCCTTGTGAGTCCATCTCAAGTCGTACCTTCATCTGTTTATTTGTTTATTTTTGGTAGCAGGGATTGACCCCAGGGTGCTTAACCATGGAGCCACATCCCCAGCCCTTTTTATATTTTATTTTGAGACAGGGTCTCGCTGAGTTGCTGAGGGCTTTACTAAGTAGCTGAGTTTTGAATTTGTGATCCTCCTGCCTCAGCCTCCCAAGCTGCTGGGATGACAGGCGTGCCCCTGACTGCATTCACCCTTTTGAGTATTTCTGTCTCTTCGATACCAACTGGGACCTGAGTTAATTCACGTGGCACTTATGGAGCTCCTCCTGTGTGTCAGGCACTGTTCTAGGTGCTGAGGATACAGCAGAGAGCAAGAGAGGTCATCTAGAACCAGACACAGAGTACAGAGCCAGGGTGGGGCGGGGGATCTTCCAGCAAATCGAATCATTTGTCAAAAGAGAAACCTGAGGCCCAAAGCGGGCAAGAGGCATCTTCAGGCCACACAGCCGCAGCGGCTCAGCTGGGAATATGATCTAAGTTCCGAGGCAACGGGCTCAGAGCTTACTTGGTTCTCTCTGATCAGTTTTTCGATGCAGAAATCAGGGATCAGATGCAAAGGGGCCCACCAAGCTGGTGGCGCGGTCCTGCCTGCTGGCCCACACGGCCTCCTCCCTGTGCCTCTCTCCCAAGCCAGATCTGGGGCTAAGCGACTCAGGGCGTGGTGCAAGGTGGGTATGGGAGCAGGCAGGAGACGCGAGAAGCTTCCTCCCGATGGAACGGTTCTCTCTCCATTCCATCACTGCAGCAAGCGCCCCCCACCCCATCCTGCTTGCCCCACCCCCACCCCCGCTCCAGACAGCCATGGGCTCCGGCAGCGCCCACTGGCCCTTAGCCACGGAGCCACATCCCCAGCCCTGTTTATGTTTTATTTTGAAACAGGGTCTCGCTAAGTTGCTTAGGGCTTTGCTAAGTTGCTGAGGCTAGCCTTGAACTCAGATCCTCCCCCCAGAAGGATGCCCTGGTCCCTGGAGCACAGACACCCCGTTGCTGGCTCCCCCCGTGCCTTCTGGGGGCTCAGGGAGCAGGACTGCAAGTCCAGCGAGGGCTGGTGAGCTGCACCTTTCCCTCCTTCTGCTGGAGGGTAGGTGTGGGGGGGGGTGGGGGAGACCGTTGGTGTGACATAAACTGCTCTCACTGGGTGCCTGTGTCCCTGTGGGTCTCTTTGGGGGCTTCTCTGGGTCTACCTTCATCCCACTGCCCCTCCACCCAGCTCCTGGTTGCTGTTGCCTTAGTTCCTGGGCGGGGGTGGGGGCGGGGGCACAGGCCTGCAGCACCCTGGGGACGGGGGTGTCCATCGGTCAGTCCAGCGCTTACGTCCAGTCTGGGGGTGGCTGCCCTCCAGCCCTTGCAGGAGACCTGAAGTGGGGGGCAGGGGCAGGCCGAGACTGGCCTGGAGCTCTGGCTAATTTCCCCGGCCTCAATCGATCCCGCAGCTTCTCCTGAGTCTATTAGCAGTCGGCAAGTGAAAATATCCCCCATCGCGAGCCCTGACCTGAGACAGGGAGGAATCCATAGCAATTTGTTCAAACAGAGGAGAGCGTTTCCCTCTGATTTGTATTCCAATTTATTCCAGGCAGGAAGGGGGTCAGGGTGGGAGGGCAGATCCTGGCGTGGCCAGAGCCGGGCTCGGGCCGCCCCCCTCAGCCCTCCGTGCCAGCCAGGGTGGCAGCTGGTGCTGCCATGGTTCCTGGGGGGCCGGGGAGGGTGGCCGGGGGCCGGGGGAGCCTGCCAGCCTTCCCAGCAGGCTCTGCTTGGCTGGAGAGCTCAGTTGTGGATTTGGTTTTCACAAAACACAAAGCCACCCGCTCGGGGCCTCTCTCCCGGGCACTGGGCCTGTGCCAGGCGTGCGCTCACCCGCTGTGCCTGTGCCAGGCTGGGGGCTGGGCCCGGGGTGGCAGTGCCCCAGCTGGGCCCAGGCCGGGTGCTCACTCTCCTGAGGCGCTCCCTGTCGGGTCCAGGTCCAGCGGGAACAGAGCGCTGGGCTCCGGGGGGAGGGGCACCTCTGAGAAGCCCAGGTGCCTCTTCCTGGGGCTGGCGAGGTCCTCTCCAGCAAGCCCTCTCCAGAACCCCTACAATCAGGCTGCTCCGGGTGACACTTATTGAGTACCTACTGTTTCCTGGGCACTGGGCTGGTGCTGCCAATGCGGTCTCTGCAGAGTCCTGGCCTCCTCCTCTGCCTCCGTTTCCTCATCTGTGCTCCCCTCCCCCCTGCGTCCCCCCCCCCAGCCTCTGCTCAGTTCTCACTTCTTCCTGGGGGGCTCCTGGTCATCAAGGGTTTCAGGGCTGGTGCCTCCGAAGCCCCCAAACTTCCCCTGGCCCCATCACGCCCCAGGGCCCAGGTCTCCCACGGGTGGAGCCCTGGCAACCAGAGAAGAGGACCCTGGGGTCCTGCCCAGCCCCCACGTCCAGGCCTCGACTGTTCCCCCCCCTCTGCGTCAGCCCCCCCGGGAGGGGAGGAACCGAGAAGCTCTTCACACCCAGCGAGGTGCCAGCGGCTGGCAGCTCCGAGGTCAGCTGCCGCACCTGACTCCCAGGCCCCTGACACCCCGAGTCTAACTGCAGAATCACGCGGCTCACTATATCCGAGTCGGGGCTCATCACTGTGTCGCTGGGGTCGGGGCGGAGGGTGGGGCAGGCGCAGGTCTGAGTTCGAGTTCTGCCCCGGCACACGCTGGCTTGTGGCCTGGGCAGGTTCAGGCCTGTGCCACCCAGGGGACAGGGCTCATGGTCACACCTTCCCCAGAGGGCTCTGGAGCAGAGGGGCAAGGGGCGAGTGGGTCCTGCTCTCAGCCCAGGGCCTGCTGTCGGAGGAGGCCCTGCTATGACCGCACCAGCCAGGGCGTGGGAAACTGTTGCTGTGGCTAAGGCTCCCACCAGGACAGTGGCGTGGGAGGCAAGGGACACAATATTGGGAGGAAGAGGCGATGAGATGAGGCCCAGGTTCTGGCCAGGAGAAGGCGTGGGAACCAGAGTGCTCCCCGCTGGCTCCGCCCTCACCCACCCTCCACTGCCACCCCCTCAGCCCACTCCAGACCCCACTGTCCTCCCAAGAGGCAGCGGCCTCCTCCTGGTCCAAAGCCTCCCTCCTCCGGAGGCCTCTGACCCAGGAGCCTCCTAACGCCCCGACTTTGCAGTCCTTGGCTGTGATGGGACTCCCATCCCACTGGCCTCCCCCGACCAGGCCCTTCACTTCTCTCCCTGGCCTCCTGGATCTCAAGCCGCTGACCAATTGTTCAGCATTATAGTCGGATCCCGTGGTGCAGGCCACTCGTGTGGGTTTTAAAATTTTAACCAAAAAAAGGAGAGGAAACCCTTCACTGATGGAGGGAAAAGAGAGAGAGAGAGAGAGAGGGAGAGAGAGAGAGAGAGAGAGAGAGAGAGAGAGAGAGAATGCTTCAGCAGGAGGGCAGGTATTGCAGCTCCTGTTTATAAATATACCTGATGCTAAGAGAAAATATATTCCCAATGTTCCTAAACTGATTCTTGGAAAAAAAATTGTTCTTCCCTTTCCAGGATCTAACATATTCTCCCTCCCGGGGGCGTCTCTATTTGAAAGGACACAGAAAGAGAATGAAAACAAGTAATGTTCACTAGCGTTAGGGATGCCCAGGGCAGGGAGGGATTGAGAACAACAGAGGTGGGCACAAGTGGACTGTCTGAAGTGGGGTGGTCAAGGGGAGGCAGAAGAAAGAGAGGGGACAAGCTCTGGAGAGCTGGAGGAGAGACGTCCAGGCAGGAGAGCCGCCGGTGCAAAGGCCCTGAGGTAGGCTTGGCCTGCTTAAAGGAGGGCAAAGAGCAGTGTGGTTGGAGTGGGAGGGCAGCAGAGGGCAGAGGCAGGACAGGCTATTTATTTTATTTTTTAGTTGTCATTGGACGCGATTCCTTTATTTTATTTATTTATTTTTATGTGGTGCTGAGGATCGAACCCAGCGCCTTGCATGGGCCAAGTGTGTGCTCTACCGCTGAGCTGCAACCCCAGCACCCGCCCCCCCCCCCCACATACACAGGCTAGTTAAAAAGTGTCGGTGTTGACTTCAAGTCAGACAGGAGCCACAGCACGGTTTTGTGCCCAGGAGAGGAGGACCAGACCTGGTGTTGGGATCCTTCTGCCTCTGCCGGTCAGGTGGCACCAGGCCAGGCAGGAAGCAGGGTAGGATTCTCAAGAGCTGCAGGAGGTGACCAAGATAGGGTGGCCTTGCAGCGGGGGGACTGGGGCTCAGTCCTGAAGGTAAAGCTGACAGGCCTCGCTGGAAAAGAGGACGTGGGGTGTGGGAGGGGAGGAGTGGGGAGCGAGTCCCAGGTTTCTGCTCATCCCTAGTGTGTGGGGGTGAGGGGTGGCTCTCAGGGACTCAGGGGCAGGAAGGCCGGTTGCTGGCGGTCAACAGATGGAGGGGAGCATAAAGCTAATCGGGGTCTGACGTTTCTGCGGCCTGGGTTTGAAACCTCAGAGCTACCCTCCTGCCGCCCCTGGGTTGGGTTGAAGGCCTGACCTGCAGGACCCCGCGGGACCCGTGGACCTCCATCTGCAGAGCAGCCTTAAGAAGGCCACCAGGTTGCCGCACCCCCAGGCCCACCCCGCAGCTGGTGGGGTGCTTCCCGGAGCTGTAGCTGGGCTTGGGAACCCATAGTCACCTGGGCCAGGGGGATCGGAGTGACGCTGGCCGTGGGGAGACCCCCCATGAAATGCTGTCCTCTTCCATCCTGGGTCAAAGTCCCCGCCTGGTCCCAACTGCAAGATTCGCTTTGCCTTCAGGGTGGATGTTGTTATTATTATCTACTTAAACAACTTCACGGGGAAAAATCAACCTGAGGGCCCCAAATGTTGACCATTCACCCTCACCCGCCGGGGGCCCATGTATTTTTACATTGCAGTGGGCAGGGGTCCCTTCTGCTCCCAGGGCTGGCTTTATCTCCTACCATGTCTCCGCCCATTGACCGAGTCCTCAGCCCTGTCACTTTAATGGCCACGGGACACCCCTTCACGGGTGTTGGGGCCACCATTCCTCCGCGGCTGGGCATCTGGGTAGGGGCAGTTACCTTTCATTTAAATACCTTGGTGGCAAGTATCCTGGTGTGAGTGACTTTTCTTTTAAATTATTGCCTTGGGGCCGATCCCCCAAAGTGACGTTGCCTGATAGGTCTCGGGATGGGGCTGTTTTACGGTCCTCATTTTGTGCTGCTGGGTGGTGCCCCCAGGAGTGTGAGCGGGCTTGGCACCCAGCCCAGCCACAGGGCGTTGATTGTATGTTTGCACTGTTTCAGGGGAGTGTGCTGATTCACTTTTTTTACCTTTTTTTTTTTTGGCACTGGGGATGAACTCAGGGGCACTCGACCACTGAGCACTGAACCCCAGCCCCAGCCCTGTTTTGTATTTAATTTAGAGACAGGGTCTGGCTGAATTGCTTAGGGCCTCCCTTAAGTTGCTGAGGCTGGCTTTGAACTCAAAATCCTCCTGTCTCAGCCTTCAGAGCTGCTGGGATGACAGATGTGCGCCACCGTGCCTGGTGGTGATTCACTTTTTAATGTCTAATTTTCACTTCCTGAAGCCACAACTGTGTCCTTCAGCACCTAATGAGACGACCTGATCTGAGAAGAACTGGATGGTGTACCGGACACTTTCTTACATGTCCTCCCACCCAAGAGGACATGGTGAGCCTACTATCACTGGCCTCCATGGTATATGGGGAAATGGGGCTTAGTCAAGTCCACAGCTAGAGTGGAGCCTCCGATGCATAGAAAGGACTCCCACCCACCCACCAACATCCTGCTCCTCTTTTTTAAATACTTAAATTTGTTCTTTCTAGATTTACAGGACAGTTGAATGTATGTTGACACATTATACACACATGGAGGTAACTGCCCACTCTTGTAGCTGTACGTGATGTGGAGTTACACATACGAACACAGAAAGGTTACATCCCAGTCATTCTCCTTTGGTTTTTTGGGACTGGCTTATTTCACTTAGCATGAGAGTCCCCAGTTCCATCCATTTACCAGCAAATGCCATAATTTCATTCTTCTTGATGGCTGAGTAATAGGCCATTGTGTATATGTACCACATTTTCTTTATCCACTCACTGTTGAAGGGCACCTGGGTTGGTTCCATAGCTTAGCTGTTGTGAATTGAGCTGCTGTGAACATTGACACCATCTGGTTCTTATCCGAGGGCTGGAGGTCCCCTCATGCCCACATTTGCCCCAGTCTAGGGCCCAGACCACATCGTCCCCCCATGGAGGCCTGGGCCTGGAACCTGGCTTGGGCCTCAACTCCATTGGGCTTAAGCACAATCACTTTGCTGCCCTGGGCTTGGGGTTGTGGCCAGGGGCTTCAGGGACTCCTGGCTTCAGTAAAGCCACTGCTCCCTCACTCCCTGACCCAGGACTGGCCCAGGCTGTGCCCTTGCGGCTGAGGGGTCCTAGGGCAGGGTCACTCACGGGGCTGTCAGGCTCCACTTTGGACTGGGTGGACCTTCTTGGTTCAGACGCACCCGGAGGTTTGAGCCTGGCTGTTCCTCTCTCTGTCTGCAGGTCTGGAGTCGCGCTGGGCAGCTGACACTGTGCCCATCAGCATCCCGTTCTCAGTGTGTGGAGCACACAATAGGGAGCCCTCTTGTACCCATTTTACAGTCAGGAAACTGAGGCTCCAGACTAAAGGGTAAATGATTTGCCCCAGGTCACACAGCAATGGCTGCCCGGAGGA